ACTAGAAAACTCCTTCCAATTTAACGAGATCTAGAAAGATTATCTTCAAACCCAAGGAACAGCCATGGGCACGAAAATGGCCTTAGCCTTTGGTAACATCTTCACGGCCAAAATAGAAAAAGAAATACTCAGACAGAGCAGCATTAAGCCCGTCTTTTGGAAAAGGTTTATCGATGACGTCATATCAGTATGGAACACAAGCAGAAATAAAACGAAATAGAAGAATTCCTTCCAAAGGCAAACAACTTCCATCCTACAATCAAATTCACGGCTGAAATATCAGAAACAGAAACCACATTTTTGGACACGGAAGTGTACAAAGGTGTCAGATTCAACAAGGATTCTATCCTTAAGGTGAGAACACACTTCAAGCCTACAGGGAAATTCCAACACACAAATTTCTATTCGTGTCACCCACCAGGCGTCACAAAAGGCTTCATCAAAGGAGATTAGCTTAAGGCTTCTAAGAACAAATTCCTCTGAAATCACTTTTGAAGAGAACATGAGGAATTTTTTTCAACACGCCTAAAGAATAGAGATTACCCAGCTACAACTGTAGAAAAACATCTCTCAGAGGTCATTTTCGCAAACAGAAAGAAAGCACTAGAACAGAGAAACAAAAATACACGTAAGAAAATACTACCCTTTCATGCCCCTTGAAACGCAATACCACCCTGCGTTGCCCAACCTCAAGAACATACTCATCCATGGGGAAATGGCACCTTATACAGAACCAATCATACCTGAGAGACATCTTTAAGGAGCCTCCCCTCATTTCATATCGCAAAGGAAAATCCCTAAAAGACACTCAAGTAAGAGCTAAAATATAAAGGTTTTAAGACCAATCTATTTGCGAACTGCAGGAGTCATGCAGGCTGGTCAACACTTTTAAACTCTGTTCATTTTCAGATATTTAGTATTCTGTTTCAAAATAATTTTAGGTATTTAGTATCACACATTTTACGATTTTGAGGTATATTGGTATCTTGGGGGCAAAATAGTGGGTATATTGGTATCCCGCTACCCCCCCCCTGGCCGAGCCTGACTTTCAGATCCAACAGAAACGTTTTCACGCGGTGGCTTTAACTGTATTTTACCGTTGATTTTCAAGGATCCAATTGTGTAGAAGTTATTTCCATTTGCTTTGGTAATAAAGTTCGTAGCTGAAGCAGGACAATTTAACCATATCAAAGTCACATTGTTCCACTTTGGCCGCCAGTTTTTTGGGGGACGAAAGCGAGTCTTCCGGAAGTCTACCACTTCACCGGAAACTGGGTAACCGGAAACTGTTTTCGCATGGTCCGCATAGTTCTAAAAATAACTTTTTGGGGATTAAGATATCCCGGCCAACGCCCTGAGTGTCTCTCTCTGTCCCATTATGGCTCTTGTCCTATGTTAATTTAACCCTGTGCCCGCCCCCTCTCCCCCTCAAGTGGAATACGACGCGCGATTTGAGGTTAATGGTTCGCAAATAAGTCCAAGTTTCTCATATTTGAGGGGAGCTGGTGCGACTTTACCGACAGGCTGCGGACAAGTATGTGAATTCCCCTGCTTAGGGACAAGGCAGAAATAATGTCTTCTTGGAAAGGCAATGAAATTAGAAGAAAGAGCTACCTCAACATAGCCTGCGTAGCAGGCGCTTGGAAGTTGTGGGCCGACAAGAAAGAACGGGACGCGCGAGGGAGACACGCGGGAGGAGAGGGAGCGCGTGTCTTAGAGGCCTCTCGCGCGCCTGGTCTTTCTTCAGCCCAAATACTTCCAAGCGCCTGCTACGCAGGCCACCTCAACAAAACTCACTTTGTGAGTTGTGTGCCTCGGTCACAGTAATTTGGGCCGGTATCCCCTGGTATGCCCGGTAGGGATACCAAGAACACAGATCCTGCTGCTTCTGAAAATCGTTTTGGCTGATTCCTCGCCCAGGTTTATTGGTACTCCCTTAAATAGCCTATACAGTACGGGGATGTGCCGCTGGACAAGGTATGGTTTTTTACCTCTCTGTCCTAAACAGGGTATAATTTTGTGTGAGTCTGTCAACAGGGTATTTCCTGCATGATTGATTTGATCATGACTTGCAAGATGAATTTTGTTTGTCCTCCAAGTTAACAAAAGCAATGACTATAACGTGAATTTGCTCTCTTGCGATTGCCAATAACTGGTTTTAAAACAAGAGGGCGTTCATTTCGGCCTTGTCCTAAACAGGGTTATAAAAATGGAGGGTGTTGCCCTAAACAGGGTATGTATTTTAGGACGTTTTTGCCCTAAACAGGGCCGGGGTTTTAAGTGGCCCTCAGGGACTCACCTATACCCAAATATTGGTCAAGTACCCACTCAGGGGTTCCTCTTTTTAGTACCTACGGTGATAGCTGGTGATCGCCCCCGATACTGGCTGCCTTAATTTTCTTCCTTTAAACTCGGCTCCAAAACGGAGACAACCCTTTAGGGCTCCTTCCAAAGCCCAGAATAAGCTGTGTCAGTTTATAAACTGGGGCCAACTTGCAGC